GAGAGGAGAGGAGAGGAGAGGAGAGGAGAGGAGAGGAGAGGAGAGAGAAGAGAGAAGAGAGAAGAGAGACGAGAGACCCTGACTGTTACCCTCTTCATCTGGGGACCTGAAAAAAATCCTTAAAGTTAGTTCCCTTAAAATTGGCTTCAAAACCTCATGTGAAAACAGAGTTGATTGAGATTTGAAAGTGAAAATTATGAGAAGAAACTCACCTTGTATATTATAAATATAGGTCATAATTACAAGTGTAGGTTAATTCTTATAACTATTCAGAATGAATCAAGTGTGGCTTTTTGAAGGGCGTGATTGTTTCTGATGCAACTATATGATAGCCTTTGTGTTCAATTTTCTCAGAAAGATTACAAAGAATGCTTTCTCCCAGGGCTTCTCTTAATTTTTGCTATTTAAATCATCTTCACTGAAGCGCCTGTCCTGGGATCGTCCTTGTCAATTTTCTATTGTTCCAAAATTACCTGGTCTGATTCAGATAGGCCCTCATTTGTCAGTGACTTGGCAGTTGATTCATGTGTCTTTTCACTCCCTCTTCATTGACTTTATGAAATTCAGCACCCATGTGCAGGCCTTAACCAAAAAATATAATTAGCTAAGGAATCAATCCCTGGGTTCTATCCAGTGTATATCAAGGATCATATGAGAATCATTGCCTTCAAATGCTTCTGAAGTGCCATGAGAATTTTTTTTTTTTAAAGAGAGAGTGAGAGAGGAGAGAGAGAGAGAGAGAGAATTTTTTAATATTTATTTTTTAGTTCTCGGCTGACACAACATCATTGTTGGAATGTGGTGCTGAGGATCAAACCCGGGCCGCACACATGGCAGGCGAGCGCGCTACTGCTTGAGCCACATCCCCAGCCCCAACCATGAGAATTTTTTAATGGTTGTTTTCTTGACTAGCTTAAACAGTGGTCTTATAATCTTGTTTTCACCACTAATTTTCCTACCAAAGGCTTTTTCAGTGGTGTAAAGAGATATATCAACCCAGTCTCTCAGGGAACTATCGCAAGAATTAAATCAGTAACTTTTTAGTGCAAGATAGTGTTTGATTCAAATGTTTGAATATATCAGGAAAAGTTTTTGCCTCAAATATTCATATTATTGTCTGCATTCGTTTTTCCCCTTATTGATCTAGATGCGCCTGTAATAAATGATATTTCACGTTTATTTTTCTATTTGGGATATCTGTC